ATTATCCGAAGTATTGGTAGTCAACTTTGCATCCTGGGCCTGGCTCTATCGAGTGACCGCTGCCCGGCGAGCTGCTCGAGGTGGGAAGAACTTTTCAACGTCTTGCATGCTGACGCAAGTAAGTTCTGATGTGATCGACTGCCATCACGCTCTGCTTGGGAGATCAGATTTCTGTAAACGAGCGGTCGAGGAGGAACGTCCGGGAGGAGAGCATCGATATCAACCTCCTCCTCCTCCTCCTCCTCCTCCTCTCTCCCCATCCCCCCCTCCATACTTATCTTTGTTCTCCTCCTGCTCCTCATCCTTATGCTAATCCTACTTGTCTTGTTTGCTTGCTGGATCAGGGAGATGTGGACTGCATCGCATTTCATCCCAACTGCAATTACATTGCAACAGGTAAGAGCTAGAGTTTGTGAGGAAGCAGGAGAGGAGAGGACAGGACAGGACAGGACAGGACAGGAGAGGAGAGGAACTGCAGAGCATAGAAATGCAGAGCAGAGAGCAGTGAGGGAGGTGGAGCAGAGAGATGGGAGGAAGAAGCTGAAGGGAGGGAGCAGACGAGGATCTTTATAGATGTCTAACAGGAGGTACCGATCGCACGGTGAGGGTATGGGACACTGTATCAGGGAATCAGGTGAGGGGAATACTCCAGTCCTCCTCCTCTTCCTCCTCCTCCTCCTCCTCCTCATCATCATCATCATCATCATCATCATCATCATCATCATCATCATCATCACCGTCATCACCATCACCACCACCACCACCACCACCACCATCATAGTCCTCCTCGTCCTCCCCCTCCCCCTCCACGCCTTACTTTCTTCTAGATTCGCATCTATCGCGGTCACTCGACCGGGGTCTCAGCAGTTCGATTTTCCCACGACGGTCTCAGCTTGGCTTCAGGAGGAGACAACGGGGAGGTTGGACAACCAAACCCTCCTGCCCGGCCTTGCCTTCCCTCTCTAGCTCCCTTCCTCTTCCCTTCCTCTTCCCTTCCCCTCCCCTCCCCCCGTCTCCTCCTCTGCTCTCTTCGAATCTCTCTTCCTTGCTTTCCTCCACTCTCCCTCCTCCCCTTTCTCCCTTTCCCCCCACCCTCATAATCCTTCTCCTTTCCCCGTCATTTCCTCCCTCCTCTCTCCTCCCTCCTCCTCCTCCTCCTACTTCTCAACCCACCTCCCTCCTCGTCTTCCTCCTCTCCCCTCCTGACGCGTCTCAGGTCTTGCTCTGGAATTTGTCTTCGGACCGGCTCCTCTCCTCCTACCAGGGTCATGCCCAGATGGTGACGGCGCTGGACTTCAGCTACGGCGGGGAGGAGGACAGACCGGTCCTCGCGTCGGGTTCCATGGACGGGACGGTGAAGCTGTGGGATGGGAGCGGGAGGAAGGAGGAGGAAGAAGCCATCAAGCGCTCTAGAGACGGGGGGAAGGGAGGGAGGAGCGACGGGGAGCGCCTTGGCCCCATCAAGAGCTTCTGGACCCGTCGGACGCCGATCGCAACGGTAGCGTCGAGCTGAGAATTTTGTTTCTTTTTTGACACGTGATCGAGTGCAGCTGAGGTTTGGAGCCAGCAACGTCCTCTTCGTCGCCGGTACAGCTGAGGTGTGAAGCGAAATGAACGCACAAGTGAAAGATACTCCTCTGCTCTCCTCCTCTTCGTCGTTCTTCCTCTTCGCCCTCCTCCTTGTCTTCGTGTGATATTTCCCCATCTCCTCCTCGTCTTTCCCCTCCCCTCCACCCGCCAGCATCTCCTGTCTTATTTCATTCAGTGTGCGTATATCCCTCCCTCCCTTCCCTACCTCTTCTCAACTCTCCTCTCCTTCCCTTCCTGTCCTCTCCCTCCTTCGCTCTCTTGTCCTTTTCTCTCTTTCCTCCGCTTCCTCTCCTCCCTCACTGCCTCTCTCTCCCTCCTCTCGTTGCGCTTGCTCTCGCTTCGTCACTCGGGGAACCGAGGGCTGTGAGGGTAGTAGGGCATCTTGCCAAGTCGATCCGCGTAGAAGGCCGGCAGACACTTGAGCTCGAACTCCGACAATTCCTGCGACAAGTCAACACGAACCGCAGGGGGGGGGGAGGAGGAGGAGGAGGAGGAGGAGGAGGAGGAGACGAGGACGAGAGGAAGAAGTTGAGGAGGAGGAGGAGCAAGGAAAGGATAAAGGGCAGGGGGCAGGAGGAGGAGCAAGGGAAAGGGGCAAGGGAGAGTTGGGAGGTCAAGAGGCAGCGAGGAGAAGGGAGAAGGGAGGT